ATAGAGCCAACCGTAAACTCGTTTTCCTTTCTACCACATCGAGTATTCCAGCATTGTTCACAACAATAGACAAAAGACTTCATTTGCAATGTAATCGTGCGTTAGGTAGAATCGTGACTGGGCTGTATGATCGTAATAACATGTCCCGTAACGTTCATTCGTAAACCTAAATAGATGACCCGAATACTGTTGCAGTCGGGCTTATTATAAATCGCTGGAGAGTGCCCTGTTTGTCTAGAATGTCATAATGGAGCCCAGTGGCCTTGGCGCTACCAGACCGGTAACATTCTAAAGTTAATGACTGTAATTATTCTAGCATTGTAAAAACATTAACAAGATTAATCCTAGAATATAACAGTTGTATGATAAATAATCTACTCGGTATCTACTACAATAAAATATTTTTGTGATATACGATATATACACTCGTATGAAATAGATCCTAATTTTAAAAGCAATAAATATTGTTTTTGATTTCATATTCTTCATCATAATATCAGCGGTAAAACGTCGCCGAGTACCGGGACAAACTTGTGTCTGGAGTTGGGTCTTTTCGGCCAGCATCGGAATCCTCGGCGTCGACATATCGAGTGACGTGCTGTTTCGTGGTCACTTGGAAGAGAAGGCCAAATTGGCCTCTAAAAAGTTTGGTGTACTCAGCAGAGCGAGACAGTATTTCATGCCGCCACACCGCCTGCAACTTTACAAGGCGCAGGTTTGGGCGCACATGGAATACTGCTCCTATCTCTGGGCTGGGGCTCCCCAGTACCAGCTCCTTCCACTTGACCGCATCCAGCGAAGAGCGGTTTGAATCGTCGACCACTGAGTTCTTTCTGATTGGCTCGATTCACTGGCGCTGCGTAGGGATGTTGCGTCCCTTTGCGTTTTCTATCGTATCATCGCGTCAAAATTCACGATACCATCCTCACCATCTGGATGCTTGGCGGTCCATCATTGTGCGTTTTACTAGGAGTTTTCTTCCTCGTACAACTTCTCTGTCGAATTGTTTACCACGGGCGATTTATCTGGACCGAGATTACTTACGGAACTTCAAGAAAAGAGATTACTCCATTTTACTCCGGCAACGCACCTGCAATTCTCCTTGTGTTGCTCATGGGCGGCGGTAGTCACTTACCATCAGGTGAGCCGCATGCTCGTTTGCCCCTTCTTCTATACAAAAAAATCATGGCAACAGTCTCATTAAGAGGACTTGCTGTAATTGTTACGTTAGGTAGACACAGCCTCTGCGCCACATTTTGTTAGACTGACACTTTTGCAGACAGTCATTCCAATATCTGATTACGAGATTTAAGATTAGAACAAACTTAATTTTGCAGGTCGTTTTAAATTTTTATTCCCAAAACCGTTAGGTTCTATATTTGACGCATAATAAGTATCTATTATTCTATATATACTCGTATGTTTATTGATTTTTTGGAAACAGCGGAAACAATCCAAATGGTTCTTGTTTTATTGAAAGGGGTGATTCCATAAAAATTTAAAGAAAAACTAGCTTGTCAGGTAGACGTTGTTCTGCCCTTTTCGACGACCTTTAGTCATGTCCTATTAAAAATCCTTAAATTCGTTAAAAAATGTGGGTCACTCATGGGCAAAAAAACTATCCTATCTCTCAAGTTTGACCAACTGCACACAGTGTGCAAATTTAATTAAAATCGTTAAGTAGTTTAGGAGTCCATCGCGGACAAACAACGTGACACGTAATTTATGTATATATATATATTAAGTTTAAGATTATAATTGTGTTAAAAATTAGGTTATGATAATTTTTATTAGTTACATCAAAATTATCCTGCCCTGCACTCTATTGTGAAGAGTCAAAATGTGTCGAAAAAGGCACGTATGGCAATTCACAATGCTGTGTTGGTCCCTACTTTAACGTATGGTAGTGAAAGTTGGGTGTGGCAGAAGAAGCACGAGAGTAGAATGAACGCAGTAGAAATGCGGTCGTTAAGGAGTATGTTAGGGCTGAATCTGAATGACAGGGTGAAAAATTGTGTGATAAGAGAAAAGTGTGATTTGCAAGATGATGCTGTGACTAGGATTAAAAAACGAATGCTTCGGTGGTTTGGTCATGTAGAAAGAATGAACGAGAATAGAGTGACAAAGCAAATATATATTGTAGATGTGAACGGTAGAGTCAGAAAGGGACGCCCTAGATGAAGGTTTATCGATCAAATTGGCGATATATTAAAAATGGGCCAAATTAGGAGTATTAACCGACGAGCGTGTATGCGTAGATATATGGAGGATGTAAAGGAAGCGAGAGAGGTGTGTCAGGATCGTGCCATATGGATGTCCGTAGTCTCTGCCTACCTCTCTGAGTGACTGGCGTGAGTTTTTATGGAAAATCATCACGTATCTTATTTTTCGATAATTTTTCGATAATATTTTAGTTATGACATTGAACTCGTGACATCCTTTAGACCATTCAAAAGAGTAAGAAAATTAGGCTTTTGATAAATTGTTAAAACCGTCTTCAAAATTTAAAAAGAATAAAATAAATTCCACATAACTGTTTCACAACTCGGGGCCTTAACTCCTCGATACACTATGTCTTATCACCTAGGTACACAGTCCACCTGATGGTAGCTGGATGCTGTGGCTCATTGACATGTACATCTATCCTCGATTAAGGATCGAAATGCAATGCAATTTCATGAGCTACCACCCCTGAGGACTAAGACAGTATGCCTCGTTTCCAGTAAAAAGGATCTTTGGTTCTTCTATCTTTGGTACACGAACCACAGCGGCATTGAGAAGCTCTTTTGCACTGGTATTCTGTGAGAGCGTGATCCTTTCCCGGTCTAGCCGAACCATTTGTACTATAACCATAATATAGCTACAGCATGGCTCATAAGGACTCATAACCAACTCTTGAAACTTCAGAAGTTACTAGAAACGCTTTTTGGTCTGGGAGTATGTACATATTATGAAATTTATTTGTGTTATATTACACAAATACATTTCATTTTTCAATTTCATCACAAATACAGACATTGTTATAAGATTTTGAATTCTCTCTAATGCAATGTTTACATACTCGCCGAGCACAGACGAGCATAGGCAGTACGAGTATGTAATCGCCTTGTTCAGGTGTTCTCGCTACTCGGCCCGAATATTCGCATGTTCATAAAATACCTTTTTAACGCTAGTTCTTACACGAAATTAATAATCATATAAATTATATAATATATTCATTAGGTTTTAAAAAAAACTGAAATGACAAACAAAAAGAAGGTAGTGAAGTGAAACGAAGGAACACAGCATGGTATGGCAAGTGACAGTCCATAGAGACATGCAGCAAACTGCAAGTAAGGAATGCTACAGTGCAGATGCGTTGTCACCTTTGAGGACTATATATTCAGAGTCCATACGGACTCGTGGACTGAAAGGGAGTCTGTCCGATATGAACTAATTAATATTTAAAAATTTAAAAACAATTAATATCTTAATAAGTGCATTACCATACGTAATGTATAGTTGCATTATAATTTGTTTTTACGCAACCAGTTTAAAAAATCTTTTTTTACTATATATCGTATGTTGGTAATATTATAAATATAAATGGACATATTATCCTATTGTCATCTTGGCTTTAATCATACTAATTTAACGGTATTTGAAATGTACGCTCACATCAATCAATACATGTAAAAATAGTATCCATACCACATTTGTGCAGACAGGCGGTATATTTTGCCGTAACTACTAAAAATAAAAAATAAATATTTTAAATAATGTACAATTACCCGATTATAGTGGCCAATGTTGGCCCAAAGTGTAGAAACCTTATAAAAATTACGGCAACAATAAACCGCCCAGAAACATGGTGAACATTCATGAATCAAGTTTATTCGTCGCTTTATGGTCAACTTTCACGTGTGCGCGTTTTCGGAAGGGAAAATATTAAATACGACGGGTATTGACTCGCCCAACGTACGAGCACCATGTCAAGTTTCAATGTCCTACTTTTTGCGAGCTTACTGACTTTAAATTTCTCTCTAGACTTTTATCAATTAAACCAAAGTTTCAATACACTTGAACAAATGTTATTAGCTATTAAAGCTAATTATTCAATTAAAGTATAATAATATTTATATACAGAAATATTGTAGGTAGCCTTAACAAGTAATAGAAGGACAAAAGTAAAAAAATGTTATTCAATAAGAGTTACATGTAATCTATATTGAATAAAAATTATTCTATTCTATTCTATTTTATTCTAAAGGCTCTTTTACATATGAAGATATTAATTTATTATGTTTTTTTAAAACAATTAATAGTGATAAACTAGCACACAGTCCACTTGATGGTAAGTGGATGTGTTGTAGAGGTTTTAATTCTCAATCGATAAAAGTATCTATTGAGAATTGATTCTATGAGTAAATGTAAATAAAACACGTTCATTTATTATCACTTCCGAAGTAGAATACCTCATTAACAAGTACAAAGGTTCTTAAATTCTCTACACTTAACATAAAAAACAAAGCAGCTGCATTATTTAACGCTGGTATTCTACCGTGAAAGCGTGATTCTTTTGGTGCTTCCATCCAATAAGTACACAATAAGTAGTAAATTGTGTAAAAGTCCTAAAGTCAAAAAATAAGTCAAAAATTTGTTAATAGCAATTTTAAGTGCTAATTTACCACGTGCTCCACGGTGAAGGAAAACATCGTGAGGAAACCTGCGTGTCTGAGACATAATAAAACAAATAAAAAAATATTTCGAAGACACCAAGTTCGTTAGTACTTAGTACGCATTGGAACAGCGCGGCGGACACTTCTGTGCCCTAAAACCCTCTCAAAGGTGAGAGCAGGCCTGTCCCTGTGTGGGACGTACATAGGCTGTAACTTTAAGTCCTAAAGTATGAATATATAAATAAAAGAATGCAATGCCTAAGATATGGCAAATCATAAATATTAAAATTATGCAATATTCCTTAAATAACTGTAAAATCTTTTTTTTACAGATCATCCGAGATGATCCATGTGGACGAAACAGATCCAGTAGGCGGTAAGAGACATGCAATTAAATATTTCCATTTACACTAAATTTAAGTATGCAAGTACAATAAAAGTGAATGGAATTTAATGATTTCTTATGTTTACGAAAGTACTACGCATTTAGAATGAATCTACTTTTTTTAAACATATTTAACAGTGTTGTGGCGGTGTAAGAATACCCACTATCCCATATCATCCCGCGGGTATGGTAAGAGGCAACAAAGGGAATCAAACCGGGAGACGGGCAGCAACGTCTTCCAATACAGTTGCTAACCCGCCTGTCATGCGTGGCAACTATGGCAAATATCCCCCTAACGGGCAATCTATTGGGAGGCCTATGTTCAACAGTGGAGTTTTTATAGAATTTTTTTTTATAGAAGAGTGGGAAAACGAGCATGCGGCTCACCTGATGGTAAGTGACTACCGCCACCCACGAACAACCGCAACACAAGAATTGCAGATGCGTTGCCGGCCTTTTAGGAGTAAGCTCTTTTCTTGGAGGTCCCTAAGTCGTATCGGTCCGGAAAATTCGCCCGTGGTAATGAATATTAATACTAACTTAAGATGCTGTCTTCTACCTAAGTCTCAAATCTTTGATAATTACATATCAAAGATTTGAGACTTAGGTAGAATACATAAATATATACATAATTATATTCATAAATGTATTTTATGCATGCGTATATTGGTAACAGTATACTGTTAGCATCATCATTCTCTAGACCATTTCCCATTATCTGGGGTCGGCGCAGTAAATCTTCTTGTTCCATTCCTCTCTATCAGCCGTCATTTCCATACTTACTCCTTTCATGCTCATATCACTCTTCACACAATCGATCCATCTTTTATTCGGCCTTCCTCTGCCCGTGTGTCCCTCCACATTCATATTCAACACTCGTTTTGTGACATGACTTTCATCCCTCCGCATCACATGCCCAAACCATGCCAATCTGCTTCCTCTCACCTTTTCTACCACTGGCGCTACTTTCAGGCTTCCTCTTATATACTCATTCCTTATCTTATCCATCCTTGTCACACCACACATCCATCGTAACATTCTCATTTCATTCGCATGCAATCTATTTTCATCCTTCTTCTTGACGGCCCAGCATTCACTTCCATACATGACGACAGGTCGGATGATCGATTTGTAAATTTTCCCCTTCAGCCTTATTGGCATTCGGGGATCGCACGTTGTGGCTGTGACCTGTCGCCATTTCATCCACCCTGCGTTAATCCTATGCTGCACAGTATACTATTAGCAATATATATATATATATATATATATATATATATATATATATATATATATATATATATATATATATATAATTATGACTTTATATTATATTAAGTATTTATGAATATACTTATGTATTTGTATAGATATATATAAGTATTTGTGCTGACGTATGTATTTATTTTATCCCTGTATGTGTTGTATAATAACAAAGTGCACACCGTAAAATCTCATATATCTTTGAAACTGACCTACTGGAAGAAATTACATTGTGAGATAAGTAGGGCCTTTGTACAAACTTTTCATCATGATGTGTCCTCTCCCTTACCTGTGTGTACATAAATTGTTAAATAAATAAATAGATATAATGCTTGGGCTCAGTAGCTCAGTTCGCATGATTTTAACAGCAGCTTGAGTCAATGACGATAGTATCTCAAGGCGCCGTCTAGCCGACACCTTATCTTGAGGTTCACATCACCATTGGAGCACTTGTTCCATCGCTTCCACTATCTTTTTCACATGCGCAAAGTTAATACACAAAATCGCACTACTTTTACGTATCAAAATCTAATGCAAACCAAAACAAAAATACGGGAACAGCAATCCGTCGGTCAATTTCCCGCCATAACTCATTCATAACTCATAACGTTGTATTTTCAAAATAAATAATAATTAGAACAGGCCAGTCTTTCGTACAAAAGAAATTTTTTTTCGCAAAACTTTATTCGTGGCCTGTTATATACAACATGTAACAAAAACCCTGTGGTTCCCGTTAAGTGCGTTATCAGAATCGGTATCCAAGCGTAAAGAAATATTTTTTTTCAAAAAAACACATTTAAAAAAATATTTTATTGAAAAAAAAATTAATTTGCAAATTGTTAGTGGTTTTATTATCTCTGCATTGGCCGAGGAGTAAGAGGATTATCAAAGACCCCGCTTTACCGATACTCGTGTTAGTTATTGGAAATAAAACCACATACAATTTGCAAATAAGTTTTTTTTTCATTAAAATTAATATATTTAAAAATGTTTTTTTGAAAAAAAATTATGTCTATACCATTGAGTTATTATGTACTACGTACTAGAGGCGACACTGAGTTCAGCTACTCTGTTCCACTCAACTGCGGTGCATAGACCGCAGTTTAATCAGTCACTCGCTAGGCGCTTGTAGAGTTATCACGTGTTGTGTTGATTTAAAAAAAAATCTTGATAAAAATATGCCGTCGTATCTAAGTAAGATATGGCACAAATAATTCAATAAATGTCAGTAAAAACCAAGGAATTACTTTTCATCGGTTAATAAGATACTTAATCAATAAAAAAGTATTATAGATTAGTAATAAAACAAATTATTCCATGACAATCTCGTGTCATGGAATATAGATTATGAAATTAATATGTTCAGATGCGACATTTCTGTAGGTACTTAAGTATAGGACGAATATATTAATATACACATTTTTTTGTAGAAACATATATAAGTTATTATAATTAGGCTAAATTTTTCATGTTTAAATCTGCTTATTATTATTTTATTTTATTTTTAGGTTTCCAAATCAAAGTCAAAGTGGAATAAATTCGTCCATTTTTAACTCTCGCGTGCCCAGCATTTATGAAAGACTCTTATTCTAATTTAAATAAATATATTTGTAATTTAAATTTTATGTTAATAAGTTTTGTTAAACGTACATTTAGTAGTTTTTTTTTTATATTTGACGGATACCTTTTAAAATATTCAGATAAAAATATCATTAAAATGTAATTGTGTAATATTATATTAAATAAGCAAATATAATATACAAAATAAATGACAAAATTTAAATATTGTTCTCGACATAATTTACCTATTTAACAATACAATCTACTATTACCTACGGATCATTCTACCTATATTTATTCTATGATAAAAAAAACAACGGCGCGAACACAGAGTAGCGCACATTTTTTGTTTGAGATAGCTGTAGTACGTAAGTAAATATTACTTCAATGGTCTCTAAGCTTGGATACTGATTCTGATAACGCTCTTATCGGGAACCACAGGGTTTTTGTTACATGTTGTATATAAAAATTATTCCAAAAGTTAGCTTAAAGAAAAAAATTATATTTTTGTTGTTATAATGTTTAGAGTAAAAATAGGTATACATATACATAAGTATAATAACTTGAAGTACATATACTTGTGTTTCCATTTATTCATTAATTACTGCTCAAGGGTTTGCCTCATAGACTGACATTTTGCCATCGTACCCAGGCTTTTCGGGAGTATCCACTAACTACTAATTCTATAATATAACCATTTGTCAGTTCGGGAGATGACGATGATAATAAAGTGTAAAACTTTTTAATGTATATAATATACGTATTGTATTGTTGTCATATGTCCTAGAGATCGATCCATCACTCAATTTTGTCCCGTGAGTGTTATAAGAAACTACTATGAAAAGGGTTAGAAAGACCTCATGGCATGGCATTTAATATAACATTTATAAGGTATAACATTTAAGCTAGCTGTAAAGTAATCACGCCGACGAAGGGAATCGGCGTTGAAGGTGCGAAAGATCTGCGATCGCGAGTCCGCTTGGCATACCAGACATTTTCGGCAAATCTTATTAAAGTAAAAGAGATACCCAGGTCCATCATTGGACACTAACGTGGTGATAAAGAAGAAAGAAAGATGTATTACTGTTTTTAAATAGTTTCTTAATACACCGTTTAGAAACGTGAAAATAATCGATTTATCTTCGAATTTTAAAAATGAATTGTAAAAACAAACACGATAATCGATGTTTGCAACGTTATAAGTTGTAGTTGTTTACGTTGGAAGATATTAAGAGTCCGATGACCTTTACGGATATCGTTGCCCTTTATTTTGAGTAGGTGATTTTATTTATAGTCGTATCATGTGTTAAAATGTCCTTTACAAATCCTTACCATATATCTTTAAAAAGTACTTATGTACAACGCTTTTGTATTCCTTGTCCTTATTTCCTTACAGATCTAAACAAAAAAAAGCCTTCGTATCGTATGTTAACACTTTTTTCATTTTTTTTATATAAATACCATATTCTATAAGAAGCATAAATCAAAAAACATAATTGAATTTAAAGTAGAATGAGTTCATATTAAAACCAGTTTATTGGTGAGTTATATAGGCCTCAAAATGTTATTAATTTTTTATATTTTGCATTTTTCGCGTTTTTTTTTATCATCTTTACACACTCGTTTTTTTTTAATAGAAACAAGGATGACAAAAGTAAGCACTCAGTTTTCCAAACGGTAAGTTTATACTATGGCCAGTTACAATTAACAGATAACTATATATTCTATAAAAACAAAAACTTCGATTAAGAATTGAAATGCAGATGCGTTGTTGCCCCTGAGGAAAGAAAGAAAGAAAGAAAATTGGTATGCCTCATCCCCAGTAAAGAGGGTCTTTGGTTCTTGTTTACTATACGAAACACTGAAGCATTAGGTATACTTCTTATTCACTTTATAAAGAATTTAAAAAATTAAATCAACAGTCCACTTGACTAAGTTGCTACTGCAGTCCACGGGCGGCAAACTTCAAACAAAGAAGGCTACACATGCGTATACTTGATTTCTATAATTACAGCCTGTAATTGTACTGGATTTTTTTGATCCCCTAACACCAGATGGTGGTAATTACGTAGATGGACTCCTAGACACAAAAAGAAGCAAAAAGAAATCATACCAGTTAGTAAAGAAGAACCGGTGCAACACAAATGAATCAGCTCGACCGCCCAATGAAT